GTGGAGGCCCAATGTCCATCTGCTACCTTAATACTAAACCTATAAAGATATACACATAGATCTATTTCCCCATCGTCATATGTAAACATATTTACATATGTACATGCCTGTATTTAGACCTCTATAAATGCCCTGTGCCACTTAGTTCTTTCCCCTATTTCCTTTTACATTCCTCTTGTCCAACTATCGTGTTTGGCCTTCATTTGGGTTTCAGTAATTCCTCTCAGTTATGTTGCCCTTGATGAAGTCCTACCAGGCCTCTTACACCCTCCTTGCCACTGATTTTGGATCACTTGTTGTTCCCTTGTCCCTGGGTTTGCTAACACTACTTCCTTTCCCCCACCTCCTCCTCTCTCATGTCCTACTGGAACCATTGGTCCTGTTGTTTTCTCCTCCAGATTGTTTATCCTGCTTATCTTATCTAGACAGACCTGCAGAGATAATAACATGCACAAAAACAAGACAGAGCAAAACAAAGCAACAAAAGAAAACCAAACAACAACAACAAAAAAAACAATGACAAAAAAAAAAAAAGAGGAGCCTGTCAACCCTATGCGCAAAGATGTGAATACAACATCGCGGCATGTACCAGGGAACCAACAGAAAGGTGCGCGGGGTCGGCCCCAATCCCGACTGTTGACACCCCCACCCCCACCCCAAGAATGCACTTCAGAGGACAGCACTGGGGCTACAGCTAGGGAAGAGAGGCACGTCGGATTAGAGCACACGGGTGAAACACAAAGGGATAGAAAGGGAGGAAAGGATATCCTGGCCCAGCAAGCCCTGAGGATGATTGATGTTCCTACTCAGAGCAGACAAAGCATGGGGAGGACCATAGAGCTGGCCCCACCATGGGACATGGCCTCCCTTACTGAACCATGACACTGGGGGACAGCACTGGAGACACAGTGCGGGAATAGTGCACGGTCTGGCCCCATCACCCTGGGGCGAGGCACTGAGGGCATGCAGCAGAGCAGCAGGGGGAGCAGAGTGATGAAACCCCTAGGGGATACCAAAAATAGACTTTGGAGACAGAGTCTGGCACCCCATCAGACTCAACTGGAAAACACTCATAAAGGCCAACAAACAGACCTTGAACTATTTATAGGCTTTTCCATTTTTGTCAGCGGCTTTCTTTTTGTTGTTATTTTGTGTGTTTTTTGCTGTTGTTATTGTTTTGTTGGTTTTGACTTCCTTTGTTGTTTTATTTGGCTTTGCCTGGTTTTTGCACTTACTAATGTATCTGCCTGTCTATCTAGATAAGATAGGCGGGATAAATAATTCGGAGATGAAAAGAATGGGACCAAAATCCGACCCAGCCATCTAGGCCCATGCCTCTCTGCTCTGGCCGTGGCTGTGATGGAGGTCGCGAGGGCTGAGGGTCAGCAGCTACGCACAGACCAACAGAAGCTGAAGGCCACGGTTCACCGCACAGTTGACTGTCTTTGCAAGGAAGTTGCAGCCGAAAAAGAGATGCAGTTCAGCAAGCAGACCGTCGCAGCGATTTCGGAGGTACTTTTTGCCTGCGAAAATTTTGCAAAAGTCCTTGAAATGTTTGCCAGACATGAGAAAAGAAGCACCATTAACACGGACGATGGGAAGCTCTTAGCCAGGAGGAGCCACTCGCTGCTGAAATACATCACAGAGAAAAATGAAGGGATTGCTCAGGTGAACCTAGAACAGAAGGCAAAGAAGAAAAAGAAACCAGAAAGAGGAAACCAGGAGTCCACGGAGTCGGCGGTGGAGGCCGAAGCTGTGGAAAGTAAGGGTGAGCCGTCGATAGCTGCCGCCTTCAGCAGGCCGAGCCCCGCAAAAGGCATGATTTCACAAAGTGGGAGTTGCAGTCCTGGGACTGCTTGTCCTATATTCTTGTCAGACACGGACTTCAAAAATGAATTAAAAAGAGAGTGTTGTTAGCCCTTTTATCCCTTGGTTATTTTCCACCTTGAAATTTTGTGCATGCCACATGTTTTCCTTAGTGGAAGTCCTGCTGAATCAGGAGCATTCTTTTGCCACAACATTTTCTGTGGGACATGTGTGTCCTTCTTACCTCCAGGGTAAGATTCTATGGTACACACCTGTTAACTCTGGACGCTGTGGCAAACATATGCCCCTCTGGACCCTACACTATCTTCTAGATCCCTTGATAGGCATATTATTTAGGGAACCTGAGAATGTAGTATTTGCATGAATCTGGAATCACCACAAGGAGGGTAGCTTGCAGGTAATGCACAGGAACTTGGAAATACACTCACAAGGCTCATTTCCCAGTTTAAAAAAAAAAAAAAAGACAGAGAAAAAAGTTTTGTAAACTCAGCTCACCAGGCTGCATCACCTCACATCATACCTGGTAAAAAGAGTAATTTGTGACATAATCCCATTTCTTCTACCCCCTCCTGAGGGCCGCATGCCCTCTCAGTGGCCAAGCAGGGACCTAAGAAACCCCAGAGGAGGAGAATAGAGGTGGGTGCTGTCTGTCCAGTGGGTCCTGAGAGGATTAATCAAGGTGCATGTCTTAAGACATCTCCAGTGTCTTGAGTGCCTTAAAAAGGTAGTGTCTTTGAGTGAATTCTGTTGAAAATGATATGTGAGAATTCATAAAATTGTGGTAGTCGTGAAGATCAAATTTTTATAGCAGAAACAAAAAAAAGAATGGGACCAATGGTTCTGGGAGGATAAAGGAGAAGGGGAGTTGGGAGAATAGAAAGGGGTGGGGATCAACCCAGGGATAAAGGATCAACAAGTGATCCAAAATCAGTGGCCAGGAGGCTGTAAGAGGCCTGGTAGGGCTTAATCAAGGGAATGTAACTGACAGGAGTTACTGAAACCCAAATGAAAGCTGAACATGATAGTGGGACAAGAGGAAAGTAAAAAGAAATAGGGGAAAGAACTAAGAGGCAAAGGGCATTTATAGAAGTCTAAATACAGGCATGTACATATGTAAATATGTTTATATATGATGATGGGGAAATAGATCTATGTGCATATATTTCTAGGTTTAGTATTAATGTAGCACATGGACACCGGGCCTCCACTCAAGTACTCTCTCAATGCAAGAACACTGTGTACTACTAAACTGGCATTCCATGATGCTCACCTTCCCAACACGATCGCTGAAGACAAAGTGGGTGCATAAGTAAATGCGGTGAAGAAAGCTGATGGTGCAGGGCTATCAAAAGATATAATGCCTGGGGTCTTAAAGGCTTGAAGATAAACAAGCAGCCATCTAGCTCAGAAACAACAAAGCCCACATGGAAGCATACCAGCAGGTGTGATCACGAGATGTCAAAGGGATCAGATATCAGGCATCAAAGAACAAAAAATATTATTGAGAATGAGTGGGAATGTCAAGTGGGGACCAAAAGCCCATCTGTACATCCCCTTACAGAAGGGTTGTGGGGAGGAGATGAGCTAGTCAGTGTGCAGTGTAGCAACGATGAAACCTACAACTTTCCTCTAGTTCTTAAATGCTTCCTCCCCCCCACAATCATGATCCCAATTCTACCTTCCAAATCTGGCTAGACCAGAGGATGTACACTGGTACAGATAGGAACTGGAAACACAGGGAATCCAAGACAGATGAACCCTTCAGGACCAGTGGTGAGAGCAGCGATGCTGAGAGAGTGGAAGGAAGGTGGGGTAGAAAGGAGGAACCGATTACAAGGATCTACATATAACCCCCTCTCTGGGAGATGGACAAAAGAAAAGTGGGTGAAGGGAGAGGTTGGACAGTGTAAGACTTGACAAAATAATAATAATTTATAAATTTTCATGAGGGAGGGGCCGGGGAAGGAGGGGGGAAATGAGAAGCTGATACCAAGGGCTCAAGTAGAAAGCAAATGTTTTCAGAATGATGATGGCAACAAATGTATAAATGTGTTTGATACAATAGATGTATGCATGGATTATGAGGGGTTTATCTGTCCTGGATTCTGTGTGTCAAGAGCTCTTGTCTGCACTAGTGCACATGCTCTGCTCTAGCTGGATTTGTACGGTAAAACTGGGGTCATGATATTGGGGGGAAGGAAGCACCAAAGAACTAGAGGAAAGTTGTAAGTTTTGTCGGTGCTATACTGCACCCTGGCTGGCTTGGACCTTCCTTGTGACTCTTCTGTCAGAGGATGTCCAAATGTCTACAGATAGACTTTGGGTCTCCATTCTAATCCCCCTCATTCACATTGAAATGCTTGTTTGTTTTGGATCTTCTGATGCCTGATACCTGATCCCACTGACAACTGGTGATCACATGGGTTTGTGGGTTTCTTCTGTGTGGACATTGTTTCTTCCCTGCTAGATGGCCGCTTGCTTAACTTCAAGCCTTGAAGACCCCAGATGCTATATTGTCTAATAGCTGGGCACCATCAGCTTTCTTCACCACATTTGCTTATGCACCCATTTTGTCTTCGGCGATCATATTGGGAAGGTGAGCATCATAGAATGCCAGCTTATTAGAACAAAGTGTTCTTGCATTGAGGGAGAACTTGATGGCTTTCTGCTGCCTTAATACTTAACCTATAAATACATGTACATAGACCTATATCCCTAGCTTATATATTAATATACTTACATATGTACATGCCCACATTCATACTTCTATATATATCTTTTGCCTCCTAGTTCTTTCCTCTATCTCCTTTTACTTTCCTTCTGTGGAACTATCATGTTTGACCTTCATTCAGCTCTCTGTACTTCCTCTAGGCTACATTGCACTTGATTGAACCCCACCAGGCATTCTCTGCCCTCCTCACCTTCAATTTTAGATCTCTTTCTGTTCCCTTGCCCCAGGGTTTGTTAGATACCCCCCTCCCCACTTTGTTGCTTTAGATGAGTTCAAATTAATTCACTTTGAACTTGTCATTCTCAGAATAGTAAACCAAATAATTGTCTGATTCAACTGGTCAATACCTTCCTAACATGATCTCAGAAGACAAAATGGGTGCATAAGCTAATGTGGTGAAGAAAGCTGATGGTGCCTGGCTATTACAAGATATAGTGTCTGGGGTCTGAAAGGTTTGAAGTTATAAACAAGTGGCCATCTAGCAGGGAAGCAACAAAGTCCACGTGGAAGGAGCACACCAACCTGTGTGTTGATGGGATCAGGTATCAGGCATCAGAAGACCCAAAACAAACAACCATTTCAATTTAAACGGAGTCAGAATGGAGACCCAAATCCTGTCTGCAGACAATTGGACGTCCCCTCACAGAAGGGGGACAAGGAAGAGATGAGCCAGCTAGGGTGCAGTATAGCACCGATGAAACACACAACATTCCTCTAGTTCTTTAATGCTTCCTCCCCCCACCCCACCATCATGACCCTAGTTCTACCTTACAAATCCAGTTGGACTGGAGCATGTACACTGGAACAGATAAGAGCTCTTGCCACACAGAATCCAGGACAGATAAACTCCTCAGGACCAATAATGAGAGTAGCAATGCCATGATGGTAGGGGGAAGGGGAGGGGGAAAGGGAAGGAGAAGGAAACTGATCACACTGATTGACATATACCCCCCACCCTCACCTGAGGGGGATGAACAACAGAAATGTGGGTGAAGGGAGAAGTGGATGACGTAAAATATGAAAATAAAAATAATTTATAAATTATCAAGGGTTTATAAGGGTGGGGGTGGAGGGAGGGCAAAAAAGAGGAGCTGATACCAAGGGCTCAAGTAGAAAGAAAATGTTTTGGAAATGATGGCAACATATGTACAAATGTGCTTGATACCATTGATGTATGGATTGTTAAAAGAGCTGTAAGAGCCCCCAATTAAATGATTTATTAAATTTCAAAACCGGTCAATACCAGTCCATTTTAGTCTACTAATGCTTGGGGTTTTCTCTCTTTCATTTTTTAAAATAATTTTGAATTTTTCTATATTCATACGAGGAGGTTCCCCCCCAAAATGTGGAATTGTGTTGGGCGGAGAGGAGCTTTTGTAGTATGCATTTTTTCCTGCTAGACGAGCAGGAACTTGCTCTGAGCAACTTGCTCTGAGTTAGTGCATCCAGTGGTGTCACCTGGGAAGATTCTTTCTGGTCACAGTGAATTTTTTTGTTAAAGCAGTTTCACTTAAATGTTTTTTTGTGATGGCGAATTTAAAAGAACAGCTTGCAACTTTGAAATTTTGCTGTCTGGTCAGGAAAAATGCCCCAGAAACTGTTGTGATGTTGAATACAGCTTACAGAGACAGTGCCAAGGGAAAAACTCAAGTGTATGCGTGGTTTTCTCATTTCATAAAAGGTGAAATGTCAATTGGTGACAAACCTTGTTCTGGACGTCTGTTAACTTCCTGAACAGGTTAAAATGTTGACTTGTAGTGCATTTGGAGTTCATTCCACCAGGTCAGACTGTTAATCAAGCTTTCTATTGCGAGGTTCTGGAAAGGTTGCATGACAGTATGTGACAAAAAGGCCTGATTTGTGGCAGATGGGGGACTGGTTTTGCCACCTCGCAATGTATCTGCTCATGCATCCATCTCAGTGTGGCAGTTCTGGGCAAAAAACAGCATGACTCTCTTGCCCCGCGCACCTGACTCACCTTTCCTCGGTCCGTGTATCTTTTTTTCTCTCACATTTTTGTTTCCACGAATGAAGAGGGACATGAAAGGACCAAGATCTCACAATGCAGAAGAGGTGAACAACAACAACAAAAAATGAGGGAGGTACTGTCAGCCATCCAAACAGATGAGCTTGAAAAACGTTTCTATAACTGAAATCACAGCTTTGACAAATGTATTAAGTGTAATGGAGAGTACTTTGAAGGTGATAACGTTGTTTTGTAAAAAAAAAAAAAAATTTAAATGCATAGCTTTGAAAGAAATTCTGGGGTTTTTTTCTTGTTTTGGTCTCCCTCATACTTACATTTCACATTCTTGTTACTAATGATGTTTGAGGCTATTTCGTCTTTCTTGAGTCCAAC